TGTCTGCAGAATGGCAAGCCCACTGGGTTTCATTAACATGGTTACCACTAACGTACAGCAGCAACAGAAAGGTAGAATATAAGAAAAGAGAGCCAAACATGACGTTAGTCTATGACAAAATGACCCGAACCTATGCCTCTAGAAGATATATAAATAAAACTTCTCCTACACTCCAAGAGATTAACGACAAGTACCCCTTCCTATTTGATCCACAACAGGTTTGTAAATAGAATACAGTATCAATGCATTATTGTCCCATTTCATGTGTTCTGTGTGCACTTCTCATTGGTCGCCTAGCCACAACTATGTAAATACATAGACCATTTCCGAATTGGACCAACAGCAGACTAGCATAAACCTTTGAATACAGGCCCCCGAATATAAAGCCCCCGTGATAACATGCTGGTCATATTCAGCAAAGTTTCTCCCAGTACCGCAGGCTCGCATTTTCAGTGGACCTGCAGTGAAAAATTGAAACTTTTGCATTTTTCAAAGAACTGGCCACTTTCTGTAAGATGTCTGCTGATAATACGAGCCCGCACAAGTGGTAAAAGTTTTGCTACATTTGACCAATGTGTAAGTCCACCACATTCACTAAGGCTCAACCACTTTGACCAAGGCGGGGGGAGGGTGTCGGTGTCAAAGAACATATTTCGGAAATGGTTCTTTTAGAGCAATTTTCTTGATTATCGCGTACGGGAACGCACGAGCGTTGAAATGTATTGTGTTGTAGTTTTGTTTGAATCGCATTCTGAAGACGTTTTTGGCTTTATTTTGCAAACTGATAGTGCTAGTAATGATGGGAATGTCTTCGTATGAAGACAAGTATCTCAACCTGGCATTGGGAGTCGTGTCTGGAGTTTCAAGGCAAGTATTTGTATCATTTCTAGACAATTTCTATTTCAATGTTTTGCCGTTGCCATGGCGTTGTAAATTGATTTGTATTTAGTATAGCTGCACTAGTACAACCAAGTATGTCCTCATATCGCTTTTTTGTGTTGAAATAATCGTTTCATACTGAAATTGACAAATATAAATGGTATTTATTTATATTGTTGACGAAAATTTATGGTGTTTTAGGCATAAAAATCTCTGATTCCTAGGCGAAGTAAAATGAGCCTTGAGCACATGTTTGGTTGTTTGTTACATACATAATAGCCAAGTATTCATACTTATATCTTACTAGTTGGCTCTTATTATAATTTTAAGTGGCACCATGTCTATAAAAGTTTTTATTTGCACTGATGAATATATTGATCCTGTTCCTATCTGCTGTTCCTGTTTCATAGCCTCAGGGAAGTAGAGTTCTGATGAGTCATGAGAACCCCACTCACCAACCCAGAGGAAAGGTAGGGGGATGAGTAGAGGTAGAGGGAAGCCCAGCCATTAGGACCTAAGGTTTTGAAAGCTCCCTGTCTAGCATCCCCACTAGGCCCCATAGTACATGACGGATATGATTATTGATCCTGACGCTAGGAATGTGCTCCTCACTGACATGTCCGGGATCCATTTCGATCAACTGTGAGCTTGAGTTCATTCAACTCTTTTTTACTAAGGGAATGCTTCAGGAGGTAGTTTCCTGGCCATACCAATACATATGCCCACATACAAATAACTCAAAAGTTATCCCCATATACTAATAAAGAAGGGTCTTAGTATAATATGCAGGTTTGCTAAAGGTCGACAGTGAGATTGAAAATTATTGGAGTGTAAAAACCTTATATCATGGTCTGTGGGCAATATACATAATTTCTCGGGTTAGGTACAAAGCGCTTATGGCAGATCCTGTACTAAAGACTACAGCAATAAACTGCATCAACAACTGTACCAGCCATCACAGAATATTGTTGTTGCAGACAAACACACTGTCAAATCAAGAAATAGGTTGGGGGTTAAGCCCAGGTCACACTACACAACGATAACGATACGATAACTTGTATACGCGCTGATTGGTCAAAAATTTATCGTTATCGTCCGACTGAAAAAAAAATCGCTCAGGTGAGTGATTTTAAAATCGTTATTGTTATCGTCTAACGATAATTTTATCATTTTCGTTGTTGTGTGGACACTAACACAATTTTTTGCCAATTATCGCGTGTTTACAATTTATCGTATCGTTATCGTTATGTAGTGTGACCGGGCCTTAAGGCAGTTCATGATAGCTAGATGACCTACTATGTGGGGAATAAATCGGTGGGTTGCTGCAGACAATCCTAATGGTTATATTGCGATTTTGAAATTTATACAGGAAGAAGTCCAGATATTCATCGCAACAGATTTGGGTATGACGTGGTGATCTGATATCAGTTTGGTTACAGTCTTAGGTCTTTTGTAGTACAATATAAAGGAAATATTTTCACCACATAATCCAATTATGTGCTTTGGCAAACATTACTGCTTTAGCAAACATTACTGCCTTGGAAAACATTACTTTTTTATAACTACTAATTATGATGATGCCAGTCCATTACAACACTTGGTCATGCTATTTGCAAATATTTTCATGTTCTAGATTGTGAAAACAATCAATTTCTAAACAAATGAGTAGTGATTATTTCAAATTTGAATAGCATGACCAAATTTTGAGGCTGATTATAACACTAATAACAAAGTCAATGGTGTAATGATTATCTAAGAATGTATGTAGTAATTGTAGAAATAAAGACATTTTGCTAATCATGATTTGAGTGTTCTTTTGTGGGTATCACAGACTTATTTTGGTGCCATACTATCTTTGGAGAGTAAGAAATATTGGAAATTTGTATTGATAACATGTTGCAGCAATAAAAAGGACCTTTGATAAAGGTATTTGTTTCATGTGAGCACAAAATGTAAATTTTACTCCACTACCTAGTTTATATAAAAATTCAATAAAAATATTTCTATTTATGCTACATGCATGAAACTTCAGGTACTTGTAGGTCATAACCGTGTCTTTCAGTCATATTCATAAAATGTTGTGACATATTTGAAATTTGAACCTCTAAATACATTTATGCATAATTGCAACATTTTTTTATATCATAATTTATGCAAATGTATGTGAGTAAATCGTTAACCAAGCTGTGGATGAAATTGAAATTGGTATCGTTGGAAAGCAGAAGTCCTCCTCTTTCGAACGATGCAATTTCTGTTTCTGTGCGATGTATAGTTTGAGAGATATAAGCGTTTGAAACAACACCACTCGAAATTGCTACTTTTCCACCGGATGGGAATGAGTTAAATGGCTGATTGATTTTTCAAGCGGTTTTCCAGATATTACTATTTAAAAACGTGATAAATAGGCAAAAATACCGCCAAAGTCCTGGACACTAGCCCTAAAACATATATTCAACCGCTCATAACTCCAGAGGAGTTGGAAAATCAATGTCTTAATCTTAAATGTCTTATATGCAGTTTTTTGTACTTATAATTTAATTGTATAAGAGATTAATAAGAGAATATAAGAAATCCTAAATTTTAAGCTGTCAGCATCAATGTTGGTGATGCCTCCATATCTAAGATTCATTATCATGTTAAAGTCTACACTTCCTGTGAATTGGGTGCTTTCTTCACAAAGTGCATGATTTTCTCAAATATCTGTGCATATCTGCTGGACAATGAGTGCTGTAATTCCTTTTTGTTCATGCAACAGGAGTTCCTTTGCTTGTTTGACACCAACAAGGGCCCACAGAAAGTGATGATGCTAATGTCCAAACTTCTAAACGCTTAAGGCAAATAAATAGTACATACGAGAGACAAAGGAGTTATTTTCAATGTTAATTTTCCAGTAGTATTATCAAGGAATAGTTTTAGGTCTGTTATAGTTACCATATACATGTACGCTTGGATGTTTAAAGCTAAGGAGGCTGAGTGTTTGTATATGTCATATCATAAAGAATAAAGTATTTTCATTGTTTCATTATTTCATTATGGTTTATATATAAATGTTTGTCTTTCCAGCAAATGCCAATTCAATTGACTTTGCTCCCCATTGCCCTAGCTTTGTGATACTTACTGTATCATAGTATAGTTTGGGTTTATTTGGCATTAAAACCTTCAAATCATTGTACAATATACTCATATCTCAAATAGTGTAAATTAACACTAAATCAGTGTTGATTTTTCGGTGTAAATTAACACTGAGACAGTGTACATTTGTTCGGTGTAAATTTACACAAAATACATGTTAGTTTGGTCGTGTAAATTCACACTAAATCAGTGTTAAAATATACAGTGTAACTTTACACTAAATCGGTGTTAATTTGTCTGGTATAAATTTACACAAGATCGGTGCTCACACAGCTGCAACGAATTTACACCATTTTGGTGTTGTGGAAACACCCAGAAATTTGGAGTGTATTCTGAACTTGTTTCGATGCTATTGCTGTAGTTGCAACAAATGGAATGGGTTTCAACAATGAACAATTCTGCAAGTCCATAACATTCACGAAAGACTTTGCTCTTCCTTGAATTAACACCCCTGGTGGAAAAGAAGGTTGTGTGTTAGTCTAAATTAGTATTAGTGTTGTTAGCAACCTGTGGCATAATATTTACAACAAATGGTTTGTTGAAATTAAAGAATTATCAACATGACCATGATTCATTTGTTCTCAGTTCTTTTGAGGTGTTCTTTATAAAAAGCATATTTTATACATACAGGTCATACAGGAAAAGAATGAGGAAAGAGGCTGTGGAAATGGAACATTTCCATCTAGCACAAAATAATTTTTTGTAATTATATTAACCGCACATATATTTGTATCAACATCTATTTATATAATTTGATACATACCATTTGGAAACACAATGACTTTCATCAACAAGAACGCCAACGACCCGTTCTTTGTACATGGTAGACTTGAGCAGCTGTCTAATTTCTGTTGACAAAAACTCTTCCGGGCTCGCAAACACAAATGTAAATTGTCTGTTCATCAATTTTTCCCTTGTTGTTGCATCTTTTATATCGGAAAGACTGATTCCAGATACATCCAATTCACTAAGATTGGAGAGTTGGTCATTCATTAAAGAAATTAAAGGAGACACAACAAGAACAATGTTCTTCATTTGCTTTCCAGTTGCACTAACACCAGATTGTTGTGGTTGCACATATTCCAAAGCGAAAGGAAACAACTGAAAAACAAGACTTTTGCCAGAACCAGTTGGCTGAGTCAAAAAAATATCTTGTGAACCACGAAGAAGAATGGAAAGGCACCTCCCCACTGGTATTCCTACGGCGTTATTTTATCAGACAAACCAAGAACATCTAGTGCATATGATACAGCAGATTTATAAAGTTTGTCCATGTCGAATTTCAAATATTTACTATGCTAAAATGGTGACAGAACAAGAGGTCATTGCTGAGGAAAACTTAGAAGCTGAGACTGATGTGAAAATGCAAGAAAGGTGCTTTGATCAGCAATGTGAGAAATGCGAACGCATTTTGTATTATCTTCATCATGGAAAACACATGGATGGTTTAACCAAGAATCAACAATGTGATGTTCGAGGTCAAGCGAATACCTATACCCTAGATGAAAGTGAGTTTATTTTTCTCATTATTGCAAACAATTTAACTTCATACTATGCTCATTTGATGTAAAGGGCGACGAAACAAGTTTGTCGTGCATAGCCACAGGGCACAAACATAGTTTGTGATTCCCCTGAGGCTGAGGAATTCTATTCTCAAAAGTTTAGAACAGTAAAACCCTGACTATTAAATCTCATTGAGTAATTCCGCATTCCATGATCCCTTACTCCAGGAGCATTAAATTCCAGGGGTTTCTGAATAAAAACTGTCCCTGAGGAATCCAGGTCAATACTCAATGGTACTCATAACCCGAAATTCAGGCCCTAATTTAGAATAGGGCCTGACACAAAACCTGTCTAGACTGTGGGATACCCACATGTTATTTTTAGACACAGCATGCAATATGATTGACAATGTTGTAGATTTCATTGCACAAAAAATATTCTCATGAACATGTCTGTACTCCCCAGAGTGCGCTTTTTGATTAAACTTAAAAATTCAAGGTACTTTTATATAATCAAGAGTTCAGTTTCTCTATTTAACCGAACAGCAAACAAAGATTTAATTAGTTCTGCGCACGGCTTGACTGCCAAGCTTTCTCAAGGTCTCAACTTGCTGGATGCAGATATACTCTAACAGGCTAACAACAGCAACAATGAAATTCTCAATTGTACCATGAAGAAGGCGATGTAGTTCAGAAAACAACGCCGGTAGGACCTGATATTAAAAATAAGACTTTTGCCAAAGCCGGTTAGCAAAACAGCAAAGTCCTTTACATCTTGGCTGTCAACAACAAGTTTTCAAATACACGACTAGTTTTGCTGTTCTTTCAGCATGGCATGTCCAAAATTCATCAAAGATTTTGATAAAGCCCTTTCAAAATACGGTTTGTTTAATTTATTTTCTGCCATAAAGCATATTAAGAAAAGATATTCGAAGAAATTTGATAATGGAATTTGATACATGCGTTTGACCTTTATAATTGTCACCTTGACTGAGTTATTTTTAAAACTATTGTTTATGTCATGCAACCAGTCAAAATCTTTCATGATGCTGATCAACCAATCAGATTTCCCGTCCACCAGATGGACAGGAATCCCATGGTTTAGATAGGTTTTGTGTCAGGCCCTATTCTAAATTAGGGCCTGAATTTCAGGTTATGGTACTCAGTACTGAAGAGATCCAGCTATCCTTGACAGGGGTATAAGAATACACAAGCCACAACTTCCTCTTAGTGAACTCTATATACTAAATATCTGTTATTTATATCTGGAATCACAAGGCTATATAGCTTCTTTGGGTACTTATAATATAGAAAAATGGAAAAAATTTCTCAAACTCAAATTTTGTAAACCAGAGGGGGGGAGGGGGTCTTTTCCAGCAAACTAAAAATGGCTTGCACACAAAATTTAAAAGCTTTAATCATATTTTGAGTTGATAGATGGAACATTTGTTGGGTTTTGAATTACTGTACAAAATTTCAGACAATTTGCTTTAGTTTAAGCCCCTTTAACTATTCATTTTTCTCTAAATAATTAGCCTTTCGCATGCTTAATGAATGCCTTTACCTAATTTGCATATTGCTGACATATGCAAATTAGGCAAAGGCATTGATTAGCATGCAAATGACTGATTTTTTAAGAAAAACTGTAAGTTTGCGTGAATGGTTAAAGGGCGTAAACTGAAGCAAATTGTCTGAAATGTTGTACAGTAATTAAACACCCAACAAACTTTCCATCTGTTAACTTAAAATATGATTAAAGCTTTTAAATTTTGTGCGCAAACCATTTTTTAGTTTGTTGGAAAAGACACACACCCCTGGTTCACAAAATTTGAGTTCGAGAAATTTTTTCCATTTTTCTACATTATAAGTACCCAAAGAAGCTATATACATAAACTGGATACTAATAGCTGTTTTGCAAATTTAAGAGCAAATTTCAAATCTGTGCACCCTGTATTATAAAATTTTGAAAAAAAAAAAATCCCAGGCTTTTGGACAATTACACACCCATTGTCAGGAGATACCTGAAAAAGATATATCGTTCTGCCTTAACAACTCTCTCCTTCCTTGACAAATGACTAGTAGATCGTCTGGCATTAGGCATTAAAATGTTGAAGTAGGGCAGATAGTGTGTTTAAATGCAATGCGAGTTTAAATGGTTATTAAAAACCAGAAATAAATTGCCCATCACATTATAATTTTTGTAATGATTTTAGATGCGGTGCCCCTTCACACCTACTATCTGATCAAGGCAGAGAATTTGTGAACAAGATCAATCATGCAGTTTGCAAGGAATTTGACATCAAACGATCTGTGACTAGTGCTTAATTATCACCCGCAGACAAATGGCCTAGATGAACAAACAAACCAGACATTGAAGCAGCATTTGTCCAAAAAAATCAATTAACATCAAAACAATTGGTGTGACTTCTTAGAAGAGGTTGAGTATTCCATATACACACAAAAACAAGCCACAACCAAATACACAACATTCTATCTGATGTTTGGTCGACATCCAAATTCACCTCAAATTAAATTAACTGTTTATATTGTTAAGATGACTGTTCCTTTTGTTGCCCCTGACCAACCTGAAGAAAGTTTGGATGAGCAAGTATCAGAAAGAAAGGCTTTATATGAAGTGATACAAGAGCAGGTATGTTGTGTTAGAAATGAATGTTTTTGTTAGATATTAAAGTGCCTATATCACTTGTGGGACCTTTATGGATTTGAACAGAGCATAAAAATTTAGTTAATAAGTTCAAAAGATTTTTTTGATTTAGTGCAATAATTTCAAAGATACAGGCCTCTACACTTCCTACGGTTCCTGAGTTCCATGCTCCTATGCACAATGGACCGTTTGGAAAAAGGGTTATGGAACAGATGGGCAATTTGTCGACGCTGAGCAAAAAAGCGGCTCATTTCTTCTTGAGTTGCCATTTTTGCGTCGAAGAGCAAAAATATAGACTTTCGGAGAATGCTGTTTACTATCAAAATAGCTGTTTACTATCAAATATGTTTGTGAAACAGTTGATAATCTCACTGAGGAAGGCCAACGGTTTTTGAAAAGCTAATAATAAACTAGAATAAACTATATTTTCACTGGGGAAACATGAACTATATGGATATTTACATCAACACTAAATTTTGCTCGTGCCTATACAGAGCTAGTTGGATTAAAACAGATGTTAAGAAGTAAGTGAAAATGTGAATTTTGTGAATTATACTTTCATTAAAATGTTTCAGAAGGGCTGCTAATGTCAAACTACACATGTGACAGAGCTGTCAGTATACCCATATTTCAATATTTATGTTGAAATGACCCATCTTCTTTGAGGTATAGCTTAAAAATTAGGGTATGCTCATCACTGGAAACTAGCTTTAAATCAAAGTTTTATCTATAGTCTTTTTATTGCTGTTGGCGGTGGCGTTGCTGTTGTTGTTGTAGGAAGTTGATCTCGCTTCCCTACAGATAGCTATTGAATATTCACAAATATATTGGGCTTATTAACTTGCCAATTATCAGATTCTGCATTGGCCAGTATTGGCCTACCAGTCTAACAATTCCTGGTATGTGGAGCCAAGGAGGTTTATGAAGTTTGGGATTTTTGGCCCCATATTTAACATCTTTGACATTCTTTCATATAGGTACCTACCTATATAAGTCAAAAGGTGGATTTGACTAGGCACCACAGAAGTAAACATCCGGACAGTGACAAAGCAACATCCCAACAGTGGACGTAGCTCTTTTGGAAAATTCTTCAAAAGAAATTGTTGACAAATTGCGCAAGGAGAAATTTTATGGGGAAACGATTTTAACCGCCACATCGAGTGTAAAACCGAGTATGGAATTTCTTGGTTTCGTCAGAACAATCTTCAGCAATTTTTGTCGAAAACGCAACCAATATGCATTATCAGCCGCTTTCTACAAGGAGATATACAGTAAATTCCCTTCATGCAAAGATCAGAAGGCTATAATTTGGTATTAATTTGGAAGTTAGTTGGCCATTACAAGCATGCTACTAGTAATGCTACAGGAGAAGAGGTGATTATTTTGAATAGTCTAGGTTTAAAACTTAAGATATTAAATATTGTATTTATAGAGTATATAAACTAAGGGGCCGATTACATGGAGCATTTTCAACTCCAGGGTTTAATTCAGCCCTGTTTACCTGAGCTCATACAAAGCTGTTCGTCGTTTGGAAATTGTCCTACACTATAGACTGTCAGCTGCTTTGAAACTGTCTGTTTCCCTTGTTAAACTATTTCTCTTTATTATTGTAGGTTGCTAGCAGGATCACTATAAATCCTGAAGAGCTGGGCCCACTCTCGTATGTTGCAGGATAGGTTATTTGAGCACTGTATCAAAAGAGTAACAATTCTCCACAATGGAACTCAACACGTTCAATAGAACTTCAGTCACTACTGCAGTCTGTAAAGGAAGATGTCAAAGATGACACATACATCGAATCTATATCCAGAGGTGGTTTGTGGACCCCAAATGAACATATAAACTGCATTGCTGAAAATGCTGAATATGTATTTTGCAAGCACCTATTACACAGTAAGAAGTCTGTGATTACGGCCATTCCAACAGACAAGATTGTTGATGAGTTCCTTGCCCTACTCGTATACTATAATAAATATTCCCATTATACCATCCATTATTTGTTGAATTATATAAAAAAAAAATGTTGTGCAGAAGGTCGAGCAGTGAGAAAGCTCGAGAGAACTTGAACAAGCACTGATCAACCAACGGAACTGGGAAGGAGATTTTTAAGAATCTATGTATTCAAATGATTGAGTGAAAAAGGAGATATGGCTATATAGAAATAAATCATACACTATATTATTCTCAATATTTATGAATATGGGACCTTAGTCTAGCCTGAAAAATAAATAATGTAGCAGCTTCGGTTATATATTTATCTAGCGAGTTCCAAAACAATGATCCACTGTGTTTAAGGGTTAATTTTCTTGTTGTTGTTCTGACTTTGTTGATATGAACTCTGTTGGCATTCCGCGTCTCGTAAGAGTGAATATCTTTGTTAAGGATGAAGTAATTCCTAAAATGTTGCGGGAAAATTGAAGACTTGTCTAAGCATCTATACATAAAAGAACCAGTTTGAAATTTATTAATGGCATAAACATCAAGTAACTTGAATTTTGTAAAAAAAAGTGGTTCAGTAGGATCTCAATATCCAGCATTAGCAATAATACACACTACACGTTTTTGCAATTTCATGATTTTATCAAGATTAGTAGGGTATGTTTTAGCCAAAACTATATTACAGTATTGTATATATGGTAACACCAAGGAGCAATATAAAGTTCTTCTGGTGGGGCTAGCAATAAAATGCTTTACTTTATTTATGATGCCAATAGATTTTGCCATCTTTAGGGCAACATGTGAAATATGTGGTTTCCAGTCTAAATGTTTGTTTATATAAGTTCCATGAAATTTAGTGGTAGCTTAACTTTTGATTTTTATAGAGTCAATAAACACATTTAAATTGTCTCGACTTGGAATGGGTTTATTTCTTGCACGAAAAAGTATATAGTTCGTTTTCTTTAAATTGAGCGAAAGTTTATTTGCTTTAAACCAGTCCGACAGTTTATCAAGTTCACAATTAATTTTGCCGATAAGTGTGGCAAAGTCTCTGTCGGAATGATATAAACTAGTATCGTCAGCAAACAGACGAAAATTGAGAAGATTAGAGCAATCGGCAACATCGTTCACCCGATTAGCGTGTTTGACGCCGGCTGACAGCCGGAAATTTTGTCTCCGATTGCTCGGCTGCCAGCCGGGCTTTACTATAGTATACTATTCGTTCAAAAAATGTGCGCATTTCGGAGACTGGTTCTAGAATGTTTCATAAGCAGAAAACCACCAAAATTACATTAATTTTAACGAAAATCATCGAAATGCATCTAAATTCATCTTCCCAATGCATATAGCTAGCTATGCGACAGGTAAATAAGCAAGAAAAAAAATTTCGGCAAAGAGAAAATTCAAATTGCTTGCGCGCACTCCGGGATTGAACCCACGACCCTCAGCATACACGCTGAGTGTTGTCCCCTTGCGCTACCATGTCTTATACGGAAAATATGTTAATTAATTGTATATATACAGTTATTCTTAGCCAGGGCGATTTATGATTGCATAAATACATACACCATTGTACATGGCCAAGGTACGTACAGTAGCAGCCGAGCCATATCTACTCTTCCAATACATCACGGCATAGATCACAGCTACCAGCTGGGGTTATTTAATTGTAATACAATACTACAATGCAATACGAGAGTCAGCCGAGCCTGTCGGTAGTATACTATTGTATACTACAATACATCACGGCTACCAGCCCGCAATATGGCTATCAGCCGGGCATGTCTGTAGTATACTGTAGAATACTACAAAACATCACGGCTACCAGCCGGGGTTATTTAACTGTAATAAAATACTACAATGCAAAACAAGTGTCAGCCGAGCCTGTCGGTAGTATACTATAGTATACTACAATACATCGCGGCTACCAGCCGGCAATACGGCTATCAGCCGGGCGTGTCTGTAATATACTATAGTATACTACAGACATGCGGCTGATAGCCGTATTGCCGGCTGGTAGCCGTGATTATCGTATTTAGTATACTACAGACAAGCCCGGCTGATAGCCGTATTGTCGGCTGGTAGCCGTGATTATCGTCGTATACTACAGTATACTACCATTAGGCTTGGCTGACAGTTGTATTGCATTGTAGTATTGTATTACAGTTAAATAACCCCGGTTGGTAGGCGTGATGTTTTGCAGTACACTATAGTATAGTATACTACAGACACGCCCGGCTGATAGCCGTATTGCCGGCTGGTAGCCGTGATGTATTGTAGTATACTACCGACAGGCTCGGCTGACACTCGTATTGCATTGTAGTATTGTATTACAATTAAATAATAACCCCAGCTGGTAGCTGTGATCTACGCCGTGATGTATTGGAAGAGTAGATACGGCTCAGCTGCTACTGTACATACCTTGGCCGTGTACAATGATGTACGTATTTACACAATCATAAATCGCCCTTGGCTAAGAATAACTGTATATATACAATTAATTAACATACTTTCTGTGTAAGACGTGGTAGCGCAAGGGGACAACACTCAGCATGTATGCTGAGGGTCGTGAGTTCGGTCCCGGAATGCGCGCAAACAAATTTGAATTTTTCTTTTTGCCGAAATTGGTTTTTTCTCGTTTATTTACCTGTCGCATAGCTAGCTATATGCATTGGGAAGATGAATTTAAATGCATTTCGATGATTTTCGGAAAATTTAATGTAATTTTGGTGGTTTTTTGCTTATGAAACATTCTAGAACCAGTCTCCAAAATGCGCGCATTTTTTGAACGAATAGTATACTACTATAGTACAACCCGGCTGGCAGCCGAGCAATCAGAGACAAAATTTCCGGCTGTCAGCCGGCGTCAAACGCGCTAATCGGGTGCATCGTTAATGTAAAGAAGAAATAAAAGTGGTCCAAGGATAGAACTTTGGGGAACACCACATGTTACAGTCATTTTTGAGGAGACCGTCTCACTAAATTTCACAGTTTGTTTCCTATCACTTAAATAATCTTTAAACCACATAAGAGGAGTACCTCTGATACCGTAATGGTTTAGTTTACTTATAAGAATTTTGTGGTCCACAGTATCAAACGCTTTTGATAAATCAACAAATATGCCTATAGTATATTCATTGTTATCAATCTAATGAGAGAGACTATCGATTAGTTCAATTAAAGCCATATAAGTTGAGTAATTCCTTCTGAAACCATACTGATTGCTGGATAGGATATTCATTTTATCCAAGTATGTTAATAATCTGTTGTAAATAATTCTTTCCAGGGCCACCCAGACACTTTTGGGGGCCCGGGGCAAAATTCTCATTGGGCCCCCCCCCCCCACACACACACACACACACACACAAGCGGCTGACATTGGTATGCTTACAAAAATCCTTAGGGCAACACAAATCTGTGGAAATATGCTTTGAAGTCCTTTCTCGTAAATCTTGTTAAGCAACTGAAGAGATGACAATTTACCAAACAAATTGTCATTTTGCTTCAATTTATTGAGTAGACGAAGTTCTTCCATGATTTGGTCTTCATTTAAATCATTTGGATAGAATTTTGAGAGATTACAACAATAGTTTTTGGCTTTGCAAGTGTTTTCGACGTCCTCTGATAGTGATTGGTCGGAAAGGAAGGAAAACATGTTGTTCAATTGTTCACTTGTTTCAAATCTGCGCGTCACTTCACTAATTACTGTATCTAATTTCACATTAAAGACGTTTATTCTAAACAGCGCTTCGTTGTTTTGTACTTCCCATTCGTTATCCCGGTTTTCGTCAAAAAATGCCTTGCGTATTTGTCGTCGTTTTTCCTGAAACTGTTCAGTAAGGCCCAAAGCACCAGCAACAAGCTTTGATTCCTGAAGGATAACATTCCAACCTTCACATATGCGCTTTAAATCATCTTGAAGAGATTTAATTAGACGCAATTCTTCGTCAATTGTAATTCCAGAACCTTGAAGCAACAAACTAACATCATTAATGGCTTGCAACACTTTAAACCAAAAACTAACCAGTAAAGTATATTCAAACGAGCTTAACCATTCGCTGAGAGTGTCCACATCATTACACAAATCAGGAGGCAAATCATGTTCCTTCAGGCTGTCTAAAGCTTCTAAAATTTCTCTGGGCCTCTTTGGTAGCGGCTTTACAGCCTCAATTCTAGCACTCCAACGTGTAACCGACAATTTATGCAGTGAAATATGAGCAATTTCTTGCAAAATTTTCCAGCAAGATGGACTGAAACTAAACAATTTGTACAGTTTTTGAATATTCCCAAAAAACTTTTTCACAACATTATTAGACTCAGCGGCATGAACTCCACAAAGATTAAGCGTGTGTGCACTGCAAGGAGAGAAAACAGCCTGGGGATTCTTTTCCCGGATTAATGCTTGAGCTCCTTGGTAACAACCTGACATATTTGATCCATTGTCATATCCTTGACCTCTACAATTCTTTAGCTGAATATCGTGGTTTTTAAGCACTTTACATATCAGCTCTGCAATATCACACCCTTTCTTCTTCTCACAGTCTTTCATCTCTAAAAATCGTTCACAGACTTCCCAGAGATTTTTCTCATTTAGATGTGCATATCTTAGAATGTAATCTGTTCAGTATGTGATGTATCTGGTGTACCATCTACGATAATACTGTAGTAAAGTGCTCTCTTTACTTCATCAATAATGGCATTAATTACAATCGCTGCACACTCTTCAATGAACTCATTCTGTGAGCGCCATGACAGATAGTGTGCTTGCATTCGAGTTTCAGTCTCTTGGTGTTTTTTGACTTCATTAAGGTGCATTTTAAGCACTTGATTATGACCACTAAGTAACTCCAAATTCCCGAGGAAAAGTCCATTGTTTGGATCATCTAGCTTGATGGTGGAGCCACGAAATGGAAGATTTCTTTCAGACAAAAACAAAACGACGTCTAAAATGCATCTAAAAACCTCACGCCAATTTTGCCATCTCAGTAGCAAATTGTTTTTGAAGACTATTGTCAATTCCAACCGATTCATTAAGATTTTTTTCAAGATCTTTCCAAGTTAAATAGCAGGTGATATGGGCAGAATTTCGCTGGTGTGTCTCAATCTTTTCATACAATTTCCTCCAATTGTCCTTGACTCCTGCATCACTTCTTGTTAGTTGTGAGGGTTGTGACCTTTTTTCCTGTTGTGATAAATCTTGAAATAGACAGCAAGCAAAGCAAAAATAGTCCTTGTGCAGATGAACTCCATACAAGCCAATCTCGTTTTACTTTCTCGCCATTCGGCAACTCTTGAAAAAATATGCTTGTTGGAAAAAATATGCTTGTTCTTCAGATTGCTGACCTTTACTGTCATCAAGATTAGATATTTGTTGATCTGTAGATGATTCCTGATTTTCAGTTAAACTTGTACTTGTGGTTGGTGTAGTAGCCATGTCAGAGTGGTCATATATATTTATACTGGTTTCACTTTCTTGGTCCATGCTAATATTATGTAATTCAGTGTCAGTTCATTACTTGTAGTAGTTTTTATGCACCAATTAAGATCTTTGAGTGTTCGCCGTGTTTTTGCTTCATTTTCAAGTCGGGCTTCACGTTGTTTACGCTTCATTGCTCCTGACAAATATGACCGTTTGGACGCCATTTTATTTTTTAATTTTGTTTGCGCTAGAACGTACTAAATAAAAAAGGCAGCTGATCCCTGCATGTAACTGCAGTCTGGAGCACCCAACGTCCACAACATCTACAGGGCCACAGGGGTATATGTGAAGGTGAGGTTCATGGTAAATACAGAACTTAATTCTAAAATCACTTTGGAGATTTATTATTTTTGTGGAAAGAGGAGTATATACTAATATACAAATACTTAAATGTCCATACTTGTAAAAGTATTCACTTCCCTATCATTTGATTTACAAATCATTCAAATTCTTTGCACAGCGATATTTTTTCCTATAGTATTTTTGGGGCCCCCCGCAAACCTGGGGCCCGGGGCAAATTGCCCCCCCCCCCTCTGGGCGGCCCTGATTCTTTCCAATATTTTTGAAAATATTGGAAGAATGGAAATTGGCCTATAGTTACCAAAAGATTTACGGTCATCAGATTTGTAAACAGGGGTTATCATAGCCTCTTTTAATTTGTCAGGCACTCTGCCAGTATTCATGGATTTATTGAAAATATTTGACAAAATAGGAGCTAATGGTCCAGCAAGTTGTTTAACTCATTAACGCCCAATGCGCCCGTATGCGCCCTGAGATTGACAAGTGGGTAACGGACAATGCACCCGAATGCGCCCTGGCATGACACCTTAACTTGCGGGCATGATATTTGAGCAAGTGTTTATCGGGTTGCCTAGCAACGGATACGAAAATAGAATGTGAAATTCGAGCTTTTCAACGGTGTATCATGTTACAATAATTAGCTCATTACGTATCAAATATCACTTGTATTAAGTTTTAGTAAAGACATATCAAAAACTACTGTCTGTGATTTCATCCGATAAATAAAGACTATTGAAACATGGTGGCAGCGTAACGCCCACGCTTACAAGAATATTAAGAAGACAAGAAGACCCAGCCAGCGTCAAACAAAGCATGGACGAGAATTCAGATGTGCCACAAGCAAGCGCAACCGCACCGATTATTCAAGGAATAACACCGCCAAAAGCCCTCGACATCACTCATGGTAATATAGCAGAGAACTGGAAAAATTACAAACAGGTATGGCAGAACTACGCTATTATTACAAATCTAAAAGCCCAGACAGAGCAATACCGCGTAGCACTGTTTTTACATTGCATTGGCCCCGAAGCATTGAAAGTCTATAATGGGATGCAATTTGCCGACGAGACAGAGCGCAATACTCTGGCCAGCATACATAAAAAATTTGACGAATTTACTATCGGGGAGGTAAACGAAACGTATGAACGATACATATTCAATGGTAGAAACCAAGGCCAAGATGAATCGATAGAGGCTTATATAGCCGCGCTAAGAACCCTAGCGAAAACGTGTGGTTTTTGTGAGTGTTTAGCTGACAGCCTACTCAGAGATAGGATCGTCTTAGGAATACACAATAACAGTTTGCGCAAACGACTCTTGCAAGAGCGAAATCTAGATCTCAAGAAGTGTATTGATTTGTGTCGTAGTAGCGAAGCCGCAGCATCGCATCTTAAGAACATTTCTGGTAGCAATAACACTATACATGATGTTAATAAAGTTCATGAACATGCTGGACGTAATTTGAAACCTGTTAGACAACAAAACTATGATCGGAATGCCAGGAATGACGGAAACAAAAAGCAAGCAATTACAGCGATAGATTGTAAATTTTGTGGCCGAAATCACCCCAGAAAAAAGGAACTTTGTCCCGCCTGGCAAAAGCGTTGCCAAAAGTGCAATGGTCGCAATCATTTCGCAGCCGTCTGCGGTAAAACAATTTCGCGCGGAGGTGTGAACTACGTATCCGAGCAACGCGATGACAGCAGCGATGACAGCAGCGAGTATGAGTTTCTTGCGGGTATCACTGAAGAGCCGGTTATCAATGCAGTAAAACAAACGTCTGGTTTCGCCAAAGAAGTTTACACTGAGATGAAAATCAATGACAAAAAGATAAATTTCCAAATTGACTGCGGCGCATCAATTAATGTTATTACAGAGTGTTACGCAACAGGGAGCAACATTATACCATCCAATAAAACTTTGAAAATGTGGAATGACTCGGAACTAAAACCCCTCGGAACAACACGCTTGATAGTCAGAAACCCCAAAACCAAGAAAAAGTACTCGATTGAATTTGTTGTTGTTCCAGACACCCTGACACCACTGATAGGTGCACGTACCGCGCAACAAATGGGACTAATCACTGTGCATGAAGATAAATTTGTTTCAGTTCCACCACCTGAGAGAGAGAGAAAGCCCAAGATCACGAAAATCGGAACAACAGAACAGCTAATAACCCACCATGCAGATGTGTTTTCAAAAGAACTCGGAACGCTTCCTGGCACGGTCCATCTACAGGTTGACGAGAACGCTGAACCGATCATTACGCCAGCGCGACGAGTCCCCACCGCCCTGAAGGAGAAATACAAAGAGGAGCTAGACCGCCTAGAGAAATTGGGAGTACTCGCCACAGTAGATGAGCCAACACCATGGGTGAGCAGTGTGGTCATCGCAACGAAGAAGTCTGGTGCACTTAGAATAT